GATTTAATGATAATTATAGTTGGTGAGCAAAATCTTACACATGCTTATCAGGAACAAAAAAATGACCAGTTGCGACTATCAAATAAATGTACTACTTGAAGTTATTTTTTTTTTCTTTTCTTTCTTTTTTTCTTTCTGATACAAGGTACAATCTATGAAACACAGGTATTCACAGGCTCCTCACTGCCCTGAGCCTAGTGTGACTGACCTACCCCCACACTCTGAAACTGGGGGCTTCTTATTTTGGGGTTTTGTCTCAAGAGGAAAAAAAAAATAGCAAGAGAGACCACAGCAGGTGAGCCTAGGTCAGGGGTTACAAACTAAACCGAGCGTCATGCTTGTCATAATGAGTGTAAGTGAAGAATGAGGGCAGGAGAGATAACAGGCACAGTAGGGCACGGTGGGCAAGTGGAGGGAACAGACCCTGTCTCAGAGGTAACGGAGGACCAGCTCCAGCCCAAGTTATCAGGAGAGAATGCAGATCCAGTGTTGGCAAATCTCTTCACTTTTCAAAAGAAGATCCAAATCTGGGTGCACATACACCGTGTGTGTGTGTGTGTGTGTGTGTATGTCTAGGTTTGAAAATACCTCTGAGTTCGAAAACAGGCCATACAAAGCCATTTTGGGGCCATGGGTTTATTATATCATTGGAGGCCTAGGACAGAAGATTTTAGTGGAATTTGAAGGAGAATTGGAAGAAGCTGAGGTATATATGGGATGGAAAGGTATGAGTCAAAAAAAAGGCGAAGAGGGACTTTAAAGAGAGTGACTATAATGTCCCATCATGCTCAGGAAAAATTAATGAAGGACTTAGTGCCATGAAACCATTTTAGATCGCTAGTCTATGTGTTTTTTGATAACATTCCATCCCTGAGTTATCTGGGTCACAGTTTTACAAATCATTGTCACATCACAAACGAGGAGAGGAACATTTTTTTCCCCTGTAAGCTACATAGACTGCTATCTTGTCATTCTACATTGTATCTCAAGATATTTGTCTCTACTCAAGGCAAGTAGGTTCTTTTTTTTGCCTTGTTAATTAATAACAAAGGAAATCAAGAATTTCACTGTCATGCTGCTCGACAAAGTAACTGTCTTAATCGTTTGTGGTTTAAAGATTGTTTGAAAGAAAACACGAGTGCTAATTAAAATATACATATTAAAGAGAAAACCTAAAGCAGATTTGGTACAATCTTAGCCCAAATCATTAGAGTTTCTCTTTAACATTTATTTTTAAATTAACATCCATGTTGTCCTTGAGAAGAATGTATATGCATATATATGTATGTATGTATGTATATATTCACACGCACATACTTTTTCTCCAGAAAAGAATAAACAATCTGAAACTAGCAAATAGATGACAAGCAATTTTATTTTGCAAAACAATCACTATACAGCAACAAATACATTGCAAATTTGATTGAAAAACATGAACTAACTACAACCAGTCATTGAAGAAATGCCTTTCTATGGTAACAGGCTCTAGACTTATCAGAAGAAAGAAACCCCCCACAGATTTGTAGCGACGTGTTGGACCTTGAATCCCAGCATACAGAGTATACTTTTTGTTGATTTTTTTTTTCTCTTTGCTAAAGTTGAAGTGGATTTTTATGATTGACATGTTCTGAGGTTGAAAACATACTTTTTTTCCTGCAGAGGGACTTGGCTTCAACCTACACAAAAATTCTGGGTCTAAAAAAACTAACATTGATGCTGATTTAAGCACATCAATCATTAAAGGAATGCCTAGAATTTGCTTTCCCGAGCCATGAATCTACTTTATCTTCGCTACTTACATCATGAATAGTTTCTTTTCCTTTCTGTGGCCTGAAAAATAGAAAAACGATAATTGCTGCTATTTTAGAATCAAACTCTGTGGCCTGAAAAATAGAAAAACTATAATTGCTGCTATTTTAGAATCAACCACATTTAGATGAGATTTCTTCAATAAAATACTGACATGATGTATTTTGGCTGATGATTCCACTTTCTGCTGTATCACTGAACGCACGTGTGTGGAGATCAGCTGTGATCAGTACATTCTTCTGTTGAACAGCCTTCTCTCCTCAGCCTTATTCAGTCATCCTAGCTGGTACTGCACAGGTGTCTTGCTTGTGGGTGGGACTTCAGCCCATCACCCTGCTGGAACTCAGCAGGTGAATCCAGAGAGAGTTGGTTCCTAAATGAACGAGGCCTTCGAAACTCATCATGAACTGGGCTTTTCCCTGCATCATTGCTAGGTATCCAATTTGCAGTTGCAGGTGACCCAGAAAGTGAGTTCATTGAAGAAGCTGGCCTTTAAACTCTTCACAACTCTGGATTACTTATGTATCTTTAAACAGGTTCTCAAAGGCTAAAGCCAGAGAGAAACTGGCAGTAGTGGATCTGGAAATGGAACTGTGAAGTTTTCATTTCTAGATCAGCGTATGTGTGTCCCCACAAGAGTGGTGTTCAAAAAGCTTAATTTGAGTCGTTATCTTGAGAGTGAAGGCAAGATGGGTTCCACCCGTTATCCCCACAAGAAGACAGTGAGCCTGTGTGTTTCTCTCTTTCAGTGGTACAAATTATCAGTTGCTTTTTGTTTACTTTATAAAAAAAATCACATCCATAAAGCAAGGGCTTTTGTTTATTATATTATGATTAGAGATACATATTTGTTTTAATGCCAAATCTAATAATTTAGTGCCTTATGTAATCTTTATTTTGGACATGTATTTGTAAGAAACTGAATGTTAACATCTAGCATCTGTTCACTTAGTTTTAACTTCTATAAAAAATTTAAACCAGGTGAAAAAAAAAGAAATACTCATTTCACAGGTTAAAACTGTTCTAACCAGCTGTTAACTTTTTCTTTCTACAGAACTTTAATCACTATCTAACACTATCAAAACATGTAAGAAAATACCATAGGTCTCCACACAACTATTCCTTTTCCTATTTTCTGGAGTGTTTCAATAGAAGCTGATGAATACATTGCCCAGAGTGGTCAAATCAAACCTCTTGGCAATGAACTAGGCATAAAATAGACACATCCATAGTCCTATTCAGTAGTTTCTAAGTCTTTAACTGTCATATAAAATAGCCGATTTATAAATGGTTTCAGTATGTTTGCCTGTGTAAAGCCTCTTTGCTGAGAATGAGTGCTAAGGATTTGCTCTTCTGATTTCTCTTGTGGCAGTCACACTGGTTTTGATGTTCAACAGATGAACAAAATGGCGCCTGTCTCTGTCTTTGCATCCCTTGGCTTATCTTAGATACTTCCCTGTTGCCTCAGTCCATGCTCTAATTTTCTCCTTTATATTGAGGAACTTTTATGACTCAAAGAGATCAAACACTTAGTGAATTACTTGTATTTTAAGTGTTCAGATCCAGCCTACCAGCCCTGAGCAAGAGAAAGAATAGGTGAAATATTAAGTGTCCATGGAGCCTCGCAGCTCTTTGCCTATTCAGGCTATTGATTACATCATTGCTTATTTGTAAGGCTAAAATAAATGATCCATCAGAGGAACTAATTAACTGATTTATGATTTCCAGATTGAATATAAAGTCAGAACAGTATTATCTACTGATAAATAACACTAAGTCACATTGTGTTCCTTTAGAGAGTGCAGTGTTGGAGTCTTAAAAAAAATGATTTTGATATCTGTGTCTCAAATTTTTTTAGTTAGTGCTTCTTAAAATATTGTATTTTCCCTCTCTCATTGAGGCATCTTTACTTTGGGTAAGGAAGTCAAACATTTCAATCAGAGAATTTAATAAATAGACACTATTGCAAGAATGGGAAAACAGATCCCAAACTGTCACTGTTAGTTTCAACTTTAGCAAATGGAAAAAAAAAAAAAAAGAGAGAGAGAGAAAAAAAGGAAATAAAAAAAAGTCAGTCTCATGAATAATTATAGGAATAAAATCCAAACTATTCCATGATTAAAAATGAGATAAATCCATAATCTTAAACCAACAATCTGTAAACCCCTTTATGTATAACTGGACCCACCCCCACAAACTCCATGATGGTGAAAGCAAAGAAAAATAATTTGTTCTAGCATCACGGGAGAGACTTGTATCTGGCACTAAAACAGGGTTACAGCTTTGAGTTGTTACAGAAAGCAACTTCATGCTAAAATTTTTTGTCTTTTTAATGTATTTTTTAAATAGGGA